GCCATTCATAACAGAGGTAATTTACATATATAATTCTTAGTTACCATATCAAAATATATAATAAATAAAAGTTATTTTGGTAACACTTTACAATAAGATGTCATTTGTTAAGATTTGTTAATGTATTAACTAACATGAACTAACAACGAACAATACATTTATTACAGTATTTATTAATCTTTATTAATGTTAGTTAATGAAAATAGTTATTCATTGTTAGTTCATGTTAATTCACAGTGCATTAACTAATGTTAACAAATACAATGTTTGATTTTAATAATTTATTAGTAAATGTTAAAATTAACATTAACTACTGTTAACTAATGAACCTTATTGTAAAGTGTTACCGTAATTTTTGTATATATGCACTACTGTTCAAACATCTGGGATCAGTACAATTTGTTTTTGAAAGAAATATCTTATATTCATTAAGGCTGCACTTATTTAATCAAAAATGTAGTAAAAACACAAATATTGTGAAATAGTATTACAATTTAAAATAACTGTTTTCTATGTGAATATATTTTAAAATCAAATTTAATCCTGTGATCAAAGCTGAATTTTCAGCATCATTTCTCCAGTCTTCAGTGTCACATGATCCTTCAGAAATCAGTATAATAAGCTGATTTGCTGCTCAGGAAACATTTATTATTATTATTATGTTGAAAACAGTTGTGCTGCATCATATTTTGTGGAAACCTTTTTTTTTTCAGGATTCTTTGATTAATAAAAAGCTTAAAAGAACAGCATTTATTTGAAATATAAATATTTTGTAACATATATTGTAATATTTTGTATAAATGTTTTACTGTTACTTCTGATTTATTTAATGCATCCTTGCTGAACAAAAGTATTAATTTCTTTAAAAAACAAATCTTGCTGAACGGTAGTGTATGATGCCTATATAAAGACTCACTGTCTCTGTAGGAGCTGCTGTTGTTGTTGTCTGTATGAATCCACTAACTGTTGTGGTACAAACTCCACAAGTTCCAGACTGTCCTTTATCTTCATCAGGATGTCGAAGTTTTCCCGGCCTCGCACCTTCAGAACAATCCAAAAAATATTAGAATTAACTCAACAAGGCATTTGAAAAAACACACACACACGCACACACATTAAAAGAAATCAAACTGCATGCTTCCACACTCACTGGAATATAATACATCTCCTCTTCTCCATGTCGCCTCTTCTTGATGTTGATGCAAGGGCCTGTAATATTGGCTGGAGTCTGCTTGAAATCTGTGAGATCAGAAACAGAAGCTCCAGTTAGAACCAGAGATGACATGATATGAAGAAGGTTCAGAGTCCTTGTTGAAATACATTGGCTCACTTCGTTTATTGGCATTTCCATTTTTGGCCACGCTCTCATTTAGTGCCTGTTGCTCCCTGAAATGATCCTCGTCTGCTTTGCGGTCTCGACCGGGACAGGCACAAATCCGGCCTTCAAACGAACGCCTGCCGAGAACCTGTCCACTGAGGAAAAACACGGAAGACTTCAGCTTTAACTTCACACTTAACCAAACTATTCAGCCTGTGTCATGCTCATAGGTTGCATGTTGTTGACATGCAGTTCACAGTTAAAACCATACATTTCAATGCTCAATTCTAAGCACATTTTTGTTTACTTTTGTTGTTCTGAAGCAAAACCATTTAAAGGGATAGTTCATGCTAAATTAAAATTCTGTCATCATTTACTCACCCTCAAGTTGTTCCAAACCTGTATGAGCTTCTTTCTTCAACATATTCTGAAGAATGTAACTAAACCATGAATGGTCCCCATTGACTTCCACAGTATTATTTATTCTTTTTCCATACGATGGAAGTCAATGGCTACCTGCAACAGTCTGTTACACACATTCTTCTTTTGTGTTCAGCAGAAGAATGAAACAGGTTTGGAACAACTTGAGAGTAAATAAATGAAGACAGAATTTAAATTTTGGGGTGAACTGTGCCTTTAAGAACCACCTATTTGGAAGCGGGGGAAATTTTCAGTGTATTTTTTTGCTGAAGACACACTTGTCTGAATGAAAGAAAGAAAGTAAAGGCGTTCACTCACTCTCGTGTCTCCAGCGTGATGATGATGAGGATGGGCCTGCGGTTCATTCCACCGACACAACTGCTGTTGCACATGAAATTATACAGAATCGTTGTGAACTCGGTGCCCACCTTGAGAAACAGATAAAAAGAGAGAGACAAATTCAGTTTCCAGAAGCATTACATTATATTGCAAATATAGCATATAGCATATAGCATAATGTTCACTTAACACTAAATTAATTTAGGTTCATTCAGAAACACTGAAATGAACCAGTAAAAAAAAATAGTAACACTTTACAATAATGGTCCATTTGTTAAAGGAACACGCCACTATTTTTGAAAATAGGCTCATTTTCCAGCTCCCCTAGAGTTAAACAATTGAGTTTTATCGTTTTCGAATCCATTTAGCCTATCTCCGGGTCTGGCGGTAGCACTTTTAGCTTAGCTTAGCATAGATCATTGAATCTGATTAGACCGTTAGCATCTCGCTCAAAAATGATCAAAGAGTTTCTATATTTTTCCTATTTAAAACTTGACTCTTCTGTAGTTACATCGGGTACTAAGACCGAAGGAAAATGAAAAGTTGTGATTTTCTAGGCCCATATGGCTTGGAACTATACTCTCATTCCGGCGTAATAATCAAGGAACTTTGCTGCAGTTAATCCAGAGAATAACAATTTTTTCTGAGACCGAGAGAAACCGAAAGATGAGTCATCATTTAAAAGCAAAAGCTTAGGGCAGCATGATATATCAACTTCCAGTATGTCCTTCAGAGTCTTAGATGCCTGTTTCCAGAAATGATTAACTTCAGGGCAATCCCAAAACATATTATGCAGATTAAATAAGTCTTAAGGAAACTTTTGTCTTGTTTCCCGAGGCCACAGGAGTGCGCAGTGAGCAAAATAATGCAGCGCATTAAATTGTTTATTCAGTGCAATGAAATAACAATTGTCTATAAAAAAACATGCATAACGTCTAAATTAACTCATATAAATCAAATATAATTTTTTATATTTGACGCAGTGAAATGGAAGAAACCTTCACAGATTTGCGACGTTTTTTCTAAAAGTTTAAACTGTTTTAACTTTGCATGGCTACATCTCTTGTGTGTGACGTGAGTGCAGCAGTCATATTTTTCCGTCTAGAAAATGCGCTGAATATGCGTTCTGTGTGAATGGCTTGGTTTCGGTTTTAACCTAATTAAGAACTTCTCCGCATTGAGCTACTATATTTCTCTAATATTTTGAATGTATAACGCAGCAGCGGCGCGTCTCGTGGGCACAGCACTCATTTCAGCATGTGTTCGTGTTTGTGTGTGCTGTCTGCGTCACTCATAGCACGTGCCTATATTGTGCGCTATATCGAACATTTTTTCTATCGTTATCGATGAAGGTGTACCGTCGATAAATACCGATACCGTTTTATCGCCCAGACCTAATTTATATACACATAATAAATATACACAGTACACACACATATATTATGTAAACAAAAACTTTTATTTTGGATGCGATTAATCGCGATTAATCGTTTGACAGCACTAATTTTTATTAAGCTATGTTAACAAACAATAATAAATACTATAACAAATTAATTGCTCATTGTTAGTTAATTTTAGTTAATGCCTTAACTAATGTTAACAAACGCGACCTAACTGTAAAGTGTAACCAAAAAACTTACTGACTCGATGTTCAAGAAGTCCTTTTTTACTTTACATGTGTTTTTAATGCAATTATAGTTAACTTTTGTTTGTGACTTTTTTTTTTAAAACACTTAATAAATTTATTTGAATAAATCATTAAAAAGAAACAGTTCCAAAAAGCAACGTTTGTTGACCGAACATCAGCACTGACAGTATGTAAGAAATATATACCTCTAGATGGCGCCAACCATTTGATATTTAACACAAATGAAGCAACAGTGTAAAAAGAGGAGTAACTACAGGTATTGTTACTGAGAATAATCCCTGGGTTATTTATAGCCAGTCAGAACATGTTTAGCATCCTGAACTGAATGAACGCTGCATGCTTCGACTCGTCATTTTACCATCAAACACGTATGTGTAAACATGGTCACTAATGCATATGGATCTGCAAGAATTCCCAAATGTTTGTGTGCTGCTGTGACTGCAACAGTCAAGTGTATGCGACCTAAAACAGAACTAGAACATGCATTCTATGAAGCATAAGAGTAAAGAACAATATGGATTTAAAAAAATTAATCATTAAAAAAATTATTAAGAAAATATAAAAACTATTTAGACATAAATAAACTCACAATTTATAACATATAATAATAAAAACTCAAATATCAATATTTCTATGTAACATTTCTAATATTGTATTCATATTAAAATATTATTAAAAACTATAAAAGTATCTCAATGACACTAAAATACCACTGAGACTTACATGCATCTGCAATGATTGAACTAACCTGTGGAGCCTCATACGGAGCGAGAGCACTCTGTCGGCCCGTCACAGGATCATCCACGTACTGACACAGATTACTGCCCTCCACCCGAATCAAGTGACTGGCAGGAGCTGTCTGACCTGCACAGAGTCAGCAGGACAAGAAAGATTCTGAATTAGAAGTGGAAGGACAACAGGAATGTTTCCTTTTGTGGCACATATGAACGTGACTAAGTGTGGATGAGTGAGTTAGCTTTATTTTCCATTCAAAGCGATGTAGCTATAGAATAATAACAGATGCATTGGAGAAACAAGACCATCTCAATGTCTCGCTTCAGAAAACAAAAACATCTTTCTTTACATTTTTACTTTTAAGGCAGTAAAACACATTATTTAGTCAATTTAATATGAGTGAATGAGCTGAGGAAGTCTGAAGTGCTTAATGGTTTGGATTTTCTGTCATTGTCTTGGATCTTGGCAGGTTTTTAGTTGAATTAGCTATATTTGAAGGTGGTTAGCTATATTTTGGGTAACACTTTATTTTAAAGGGGTCATAGGATGCCCATTTTCCACAAGTTGATATGATTCTTTGGGGTCTTAATGAAAAGTCTGTAACATAGTTTGGTTAAAATTTCTCAATGGTAGTGTAAAAAACACCTTTTTTACCCTGTCAAAAGCAGCTCTTTTCAGATCAAGCCGTTTTTGTAGCATTTTCCTTTAAATGTTAATGAGCTATGCTGACAACTATCGTGGGAGGGGCCTGTCTGTGTGAGATCACACTGACAGGCATCTGAGATCGGCTCGATTTGAGAAAGGGGAAAACATTTAACCAGATTTTTAAAAAAACACTGGGTGGATTTTTATCATTATAGGGTGGTTGTGTACACACACTGCCAACACACATTTCAGTTCAAACAACTTGTAAAAGTGCATGTAGCATCCTATGACCTCTTTAAGGTGTCCTTGTTACACATGTTACATATACATACTATTATAATAACAATTAATTATGCATAATTACATGCAAGTAACCCTAAGCCAAACCCTAATCCTAACCCTAAGCATATAGTAAGTACATGTAGGTACAAGTACAAGGACACCATAAAATAAAGTGTAACCATATTTTGTTCAAATGTATATCTTATCTTGAAACAGACTATTATTTTATAGCAGTTCACTAGTTCTGAAATGTTATATTTTGCTGCATGCATGTTCAGATCCTAAAATAGATACATGTATCTATAACTGTTGGTTTCACAAGTTTTACAATTTATTAAGTTGTAACCTGAATTTTTTACGGGTTTTTTTCCTACATGCTCTAACACTTAAAAATGACTTTTGTTTATGTAACCTTGTGTTATCAGGTTAGGTAATATTAATAATGAATATTAATACATTTTTTTTAGTTTAAAAAATATATTAAAAGGGGTCATATGATGTTGCTAAAAAGAACATTATTTTGTGTATTTTCCACATACTGTACATTATTGTTTCTCCTCAATGCCCCACCTTTCTGAAAAGCGTCGATTTTCACAAAGCTCATTGGTCTGAAAAGTGAGGTGTGCTCTGATTGGCCAGCTATCCAGTGCGTTGTGATTGGCCGAATACCTCAAGCTGTGACGGAAATGTTACGGCCTTACCATACTGTGATACCCTGTCCGGTCGGAGCGACGAGACAAAAACATTCAAACCCAAACCCATTATAAACGAGGCATTTGTTGCATCCAGTGTGGACATAATTACGGATTATAATTAGTAGGGCTGAACGATTTTGGAAAATAATCTAATTGCGATTTTTTTTACCAATATTGCGATTGCGATTTAATATGCAATTATTTTTTAAAGCTCTTTATGTTCTGTATTATTCAACAAAGACAAGCTATAAATCATTGTATAGTATGACCAACACACTATTAGATAGATTAAACATAAATGTCCTTTTCTGTAGGCCAGGCTTATATGTTACCATGAAATTAGGTGATGCATGAATTGATATGAATGACATTTTTATTTAACAACTACAATCACAGTATATTGACTGATTTGTTGAACTTCCAACCTTGTAAGCATGTAATAATTATGACAACATAAAGCACTGACAAATAAGCCTGGTGTAAACATTAATATGAAAGTCAGTAACAAATCACACAAACGAAAGCAGATTGCAGAAATATAAAAACAAATCTGTTGCATTACCACACTACTTTAGGTAATTCAAAGTCAATGTAATAAACATATGTAAACATGTGGACTGCACTAAACACTGTCTGTTAACTTTAGACCAGTGGTTCTCAAACTTTTTTGATCGTGCCCCCCTTTAAACCTATAAAAAAAAATCTTATTTAATTTAAAAAACCTACAGGGAAAAAAACACCTGCATCACTTGAAACACTGAAAAATAGCAGAGAGAATAACTGTTATTATTATTATTCTCGCTCTGTTATTTATTTTTTGTGGGTTTCTTGCTGTCCGCTAAGGCATAGGACACACACAGGCTTTCCTCCTCACCACGACATTAAAGGGGTCATATGATGCTTTTTTTAAAGATCATTATTTGGTGTATT